CTTCCAATCGGCTTCTTGCAAGGCGGAGCGTGCATACATTACCATAATGCTTCAATTTATCATGTGGGGAAATTAAGATTTGCAGGTTTTGTTAATAACTTCTCTATAGTGTCGTACAACACATACTGTTTGAAATAACAGCTTTTCACTTATTTCAATATTCTGCAGTTATCACAAGTTTACGTTCAACACTAAACTTCACATATCTTACACACATATTAAAGGCCTTATTTCCTAAAAAGGGTAATAAACACTGATTAAAGTTGCACCGATTACATGAACACATCAAATATATATATATAAGACATACAACATATTATTTGTGAATCTGGTTGCCCTGTTATGCGCATAACTGATTTTCTGTTGAAATTGTCTGTTGTACGTTTCGTGTCCCTTTTTTGGAATGCAGGGGGGAAAGGGGAGGTGTCCTGAGGTCATGCCCATGTCACGAGTTGGGAGTCTGCCATTCTTCTCCTGGACAGAGAGCTCTTAATCTGTCACTTTCTGTTTATCAGATTTAGCAATTTATGTGTTAAATGGTCAGGGGGATCACGCATCTGGTCCTTGAAAGCCCGTAAAACAAAGATAGTTTTGTATCCTAGTTTGAGTTAGGGTTTAAGCACTGTTTTTATTTGAGTCTCTTGAGACGATACGCTAGATAGTACAGGAACTGCTTCAACACTTCACTGACCCTGCATGAGTTTTACGACCGCAGCTGGCTGCATAGGGGCTCCTCAGTTTGTCTCAATGGAATGTGATTGTTTCATGTGTGACTCAATAGTGTAAGTGGGTCCGTTCGAAGACAGAGATCCTACAATGTTAATGCACATTTTAATTTTGATCATTTACATTTTTAATGCATTTTCATAAATAAATAAATAAATAATCGTATTGCCCCAAACAGTTGTGTAAATATTATCAGCTGTGTAGGTCTATGTGTTATAGATAGTGTATATATTGCTGACATTATTGTTTTTCCCGTTTTAACAGTTGATACTTTTGACATCCCTGTGTTAGATATAATTAAATAATTAATATATGAGCTGGAATCTGCACCTAGGTTGCTTACTCAGAATGTCCTCACAGCAATCCTCTTGAAGAGTGTTTGTCCAGTATAAGACCCATACAAAGCCTTTCATGTCTCTGATGAGTCAGAGCTTTGACCCTCTCAGACAGACCTTCTTGTGCCGTGATCATTCGTACCGTGTATCAATAAAGCTAAAGCCATACACCAATCACAAAAACGGCACCACAACTGCGTCCGTGTCCGCATCCCCACTGATCCCCCTAAGACACTGCTGGCACTTTGAAGTCCAGACTTGAAAGGACTATAGTGAGTGCAGAGAGAGATGGAGAGCAGTAAACAGTGATTATGTAGAGATTAATGAAGCTGAACCCATGCTGACGCCACTCAGCCTCAGGACAGCAGCCGCAGTCAGCAACTCCAGCATCAGTTCAGTGCACCTGTCCACCTGAGCACACCTGCAAGAGTTACAACATAGGCCAGCCAATATATGCTTGAGTACAGGGTGATAAGAAAAACAAGACAGAAAGTCCTTTTGGATAATTAGAACGGGCGATTAAATGTATTAGTTAAACCTAAAATGGTTGTTGGTTGTAAATCATGTGCATAGTCAGATGTATTTATTTAATTGTTTTTTTTTTATTTTTGTTTTGTTTTGTTTTTTTTATTATTATTGCAACGGAAATGAAAATGCATGGGCTATTATATTATTATAATATGTATTTATAATAATATAATAGCCCATGCATTAGTTCATTGTATTATTATTATTATAATTTTGTAAGTTATTGCATTTGTTATTCTTTCATTTAGCATCACTACAATATCATCCAGTCTCCAATAATAATTAAAATATGTATGGTTTAATATTACATTAGATCTAAATAAATATACATAGATCATCAATATTAAATGTGGCATGCTTTGCCTCAAGTATTAATGTCACTGACCAAAGTCTCCAGAGTTTAAAAGTTGATATAGAAACCCTTTGACAGTAACTTCAGTGCAGTGTTTAACAGACTTCATAGCCAAAGATTTCTGAGGGCTGAGTTAGGTGCTGGGCTTAATATGCTTGTCAAGATGTTGAATGATTAATAATATAAATATGTTTATCAGAAAAAGATGGGTTGTGTTTAACAGACTTCATATCCAAAGATTTCTGAGGGCTGTGTTAGAAGCTGGACTTAATATGTTGCTTGTCAAGATGTTGAATTGTAAATAAGAGCACTGGAGTTCATCAAACAGTATGAATTAGGCAGAAAACTACCACCTACACAGTATAGGAGAAAAAAACTGAGACACTTAAAAAATAAATAAACAAATACATACGTACATACATACATACATACATACATACATACATACATACACATACATACATATATATATACTTACATACATATAGAAATACATACGTACATACATACATACATACATACATACATACATAAAATAACATAACATATAATTAAGCCCAACAGTACACTGAGGCTCAGTACAATTAAACATGAACTCGTACAAATTCATTTCAAATAAAGTCATTTCAAATAAAAAATAGTTTCTTGTGTTGATAACATCTTTGACCACAAACTAAGCAGCATACCCATAACCCATTGTTTGTTTATTTTCTATCTGCCTTTAACAGTATCTGCCCAGATCCTGAAAGCCAGCCTGGACACAATGGAACGGCATATTCAGAGGCTGGAGAACGACATCCAGAACTTCCCCAAGACTGATGACAAGCAGGATAAATTTGTTGACAAAATGTCGATATCCTTTGAGCAAATGTACTACTTTTGTCTCCTATGCTAAACAGTTTTGTAGGCTTCTATGCTGGAATGAGGTAGACTGAAGACAAGCAGGATAAGTTTGTCGAAAAAATGTCGATATCCTTTGAGTACATTTACTTCTACTGTCTCCTGTGCTAGAAAGTTTAGTAGGCTTCTGTGCAGGAATGAGGTGCTGAGGTCCCTTTCACAGTAAGCTATGAAAAATAATAATAATTCTTAATCAATATTTTTGTTTTGTTTTCCATTTCCAACTACAAACATTCGAAGTTTTCTATTTTAATTACATTTTAAAATGTAATTTATTCCTATGATGGCAAAGCTGAATTTACAGCAGCCATTATTCCAGTCTTCAGTGTCACATAATCCTTCCGAAATCATTCTGTTTATTTAATGCTCAGGAATAATTTCTTATAATTATAAGAAAAATGGAAAACTTTTGTAGCATTATGAATGTCTTTACTGTCATTTTTTAATTAATTTTATGCATTTTTGCTCAACAAATATATTAATTTCTTTCAAAAAAAATATTTTTGACCTCAGACTTTTGAATGGCAGTGTATATGTAAACACCCATTAAACAAAATAATTGATTATTTCCTTCTTTTCAGAAATTATATTTTGATTGAATTTATTTAATAATAAATATAACAAGACATATTAGGTTTATACAACAAGAAAAAAAAATTGAAATATATTCCCTGAAAACAGGCCTTATTTTCACAGTTTGGCTTAAGTAAATGTATCTTGTTTCGTGGATGGTTAAATGTTTTAACTGGAAAACGACAAAAATACTGTATAGGCTGTCTCAAAGTGAGGTGTTTATCAGCGTTCTCCTCGTCTCTCAAGCTCTCCAAAGGGAGTTCAGCCTGGGAGCTATTTATACTGCACAGCTTTCTCCCCACGGACTCTAATGGAGGGCTTCTTAGCCTTCTATACTTATAACCCCATGCTGATTTCATCTGCTAACCAGCCACAGTCCTCCTCTCTTCAACTTTATGAGGGCTATCAGCTCTCATAGCACCTCTCCCTTTTCAATAACAGAAACACAAGAGATTGCGCCCCTCAAATCAAATTAGATGCCACAGCACTTCTCAAACTCTAAGTGAGGAAGTTAGACACTTGTTTGACCTTTGCTTTCTGACATGTGAATGTTTATGCGGGCCAAAGCGGATCTGCTGCAAAATGGTGCTGATTTAGGGAAGTTTGACTTTTGTGCCGGTTCTGAGCGACGGCCTGACTTTTATATTCCCACTGCGATTCTTGCCGTTCCTCAGCGGTGTTATTAACTACGAGTAAGAACCATTAATCAATGACTTATCAAGTCTGAGAGACTTCCCATATGTTCCCCAAGCACAGGAACGACAGCAGTTAACCTTATTTTAGCTCTTTGTTCACGAGCTTAACGCCGAGATTTATGGGGGCTTACTTTGCACTTTGGGTGGCATAAGAGTAATAGCCCTGGCACACATTAAAAATCTGCTCTGAGTCAAAGAGGGCTGCTTAGGTTTGTATGGTTTAAGAACAATGAGCTGCTCTTGCCTGCAGTGCGGCACAAAAACAAGCCAGAATACCTCTGTGGCCTTAGTGACAGTATTGATTAGCAGGACTCGGGGAGGATTGGAACTTGAGTGAGGGGAAATGGAGAGGCGCGGATCCACTGTGGCAGTGCTGGGGCCTTGCGCTGTTCCCAGGGGATTGTAAAAGCCAACCAGGCCCCGAGTGCAAATGCAGCCACATCGCGTCCCTGTCTCACCTGATCTGTAATCAGAGCCGGCACACAGCCGAAGCTGAATACAGTCACGTACGTTTGATGATTCGAGAGGGGTTTTTTAGCAGCAGAGAAAGAAAAGCCAGCGAGAGAGCTGTGACTGAAAAGGAACGGCTCCACCCTCATTGTGCACCAGTCGCGACTCGTTTTCAGAAGCATCAGAGCTCGGCTGCAGAGATACTGACTGACAGCACGTTCAAACACAGCTGCGCCAGCTCTTTTGCGGATGACAGGGCAGACATTGTCACTGAGCTAAAGGAGACCAAAAGCTGTTTCACTCGGCCATTGAGGACAGCAGGCTAGATGTTATAGAAGGGAGTGATTGAATTTGTGAACGTGGAGGTGGGTGTGTGTGTGTGCGCGCTTTTTGCAATATGCACTCCATTGCTCGCCATAGCAACAGGCTTCTTGCTCTCTCCTTTATGAGTTTGACCTCGACGTGACCTTGACAAATGACTACGGTGTGGAGATGCTATTTTAGAGTGGTAGTGCAGGAAGTGTTTTAAAAACACGCGCTTTTTAAACTCGCGGTTGATGATTTGTTTAAACGGGATGGGAAAGGAAATTTGCGTGAATGAGGAAAAAGACAGATGTTACCATGTTTACAGTGTTTTCTTTGCCTGTAGATACTCATCTAAATCACACTACTCCAGGTGGGCACTGTCAGAATCTTCAGATTTCTTCCTTTTTTATGAACTGTAGCCTTGAGATCCATGTGATTTAATCTACCCTGAAATCACACTATTCTGTTTTTGTTTTTTTTTACTCTCTGCTGCTCCAGAGAGACCCAACACAATACGATTGTGGCGTTTCATATGCAGAACATTTGTTTCTTTTCAGTTTTCATGGCAGCTCAAACTGCAGATTTAGAGCCCTGCCAGCGAGATAGGAGGAGAGAATGAACTACTATGTACCAAATTTTATGAGATAAAAAGGCTTTAACTAGAGAGAGGCCATGTGAGAGCGGTAGAGGAATTTTGCCTAGGTAGGAGTCAGCTTTTTTTGGATGTAATAATAGCAGTACACATTTCACACCCCTCTGAAACTGTGGAGGTGACATTTTGCAATATTAAAAAATCTCACCAAATATGGGAAGATCATATTAGATTCACATTAAGGTGCTTAAGACTCTGGAACAAATATGCATTTATTAGCTTGCATGGCGATGCACCGTTGATATATTAATCCATTAAATAGAAATGATTGTGGCAGCAAATCAAGGCCGGTTTAGAAATGCACCGAACACACTGTTGCAAGAGAGAAATAAACTCACGATATGCATAAGGGTTAGTTTTTAGAGTCAAATAAAGGAAGCTAATTTTATTACCGCCTGCTCAGTATTCCCTCTTGCAATATGAACATGTATATGTGAGAGTATGTTTGTCTAAGGTATTAGGTCAGATATGGGAGAGTAGTTGCAGATGCATTATGGGTATATGGAAGAATGAAATCGACTCCCACTGCCTTGTATACATTATTTAATATATTATAAGTACTAAAGATCCCTGTGCATCATAATTCACACTACCTGCTAAGAATTAATGTTTTTTTCCCCTCCTTCTTTTTTTGCTTGCTTTTTGCATGCTTTGGAGGATATTATGTGCTGTTTGTATTGCTGGAATATCCACATAAATGCATTCAGAGTGAGGATGGGGAGTTTTTCATTACATAAATGCATTTCATACATACAAGATACACCAGCATACATTAAAGCCGTATAGTTATTACAGTCCTCTGCTTTAAACCGATCTAAATAACTGGTGAAATGCTGGCAGAGTAGCTCATATGCGCAACTCTTATCAGTAGGAATGCTTTATTTTTTCCACCATTACTGTAATGTATGCAAATGACTGAGTAGGATGTTTGTTCAGCAGTTTAGTGATATCTATCTATCAGAATTAATGGCACCCCACAAAGGCTTTTAAATGAACTAGCGGCCCCATGGGAGCTGTAACTCAGCAGAGGGACAGTGCTGACGGTGGCCTGCCTGGGGACCTGGCGTACTGGGAACTTAATGGAGAGCGGAAGGGTTGCAGCGGCGTTTGGCATCCATACTGAGTTTTGACGGATGAGGGGGCCTGTCTAATAGATCTCGCTATAATTCAGTGTGCTGGTATTTAACTTAACCTTTGTTCTCTCTAGGGACTGAAAAACACCAATCAGCCGGCCAATTTCTCCCTCCGCCACCTCTCTAATGACAAAGCACATGCAGGAACAGAAAAGTTCAAATAAATACAGTACATTGGAAAGGAACTTTTAAAAATAGATAGTTCTGAATCTTAATTTGGATTAGATGAGCTATGTTTGAAGTCATTAAATACTGATAAATGTATGCCTGTGACCATAATCATTCAGCCTTCAGTTAGGATAATCAACTATTTAATTATATAGTTGATTTTATTATATTATATAATGATACCTGTTATTTATGGTAATTATTAATAATAAGTGTATATCGAACACAGATATCTCATAGTGTGTCATAGTGCTATAGCCGCCATAAGGAAAGCAATCAAGCCACTCAAATTTATTGGTCCATGGCTTCTCCTTATTTCTGGTAAAATATATGTGTGACTTTTCATTAAAATTAATGCTAAATTTTTTACAAGTATATGCATTTATTAAAATTAAGAAGTATATATATGAAGTAAATGAATTGAAATATTATTGTTAAACAGTTGTATCGAATAGATAGTCCACCCAAAAATGCAAATTACCCCATAATTTACTCACCCTTAAGCCATCTTAGGTGTATATGATTTTCTTCTTTCAGACAAAAACAATCGGAGTTATATTAAAGAATTTCCTGGCTCTTCCCAGCTTTATAATGGCAGTGAATGGGTGTTATTCAATAGTCCAATAGAAGTCCAATAAACTGTGCCAATCCATCATAAAAAAGGGTGGTTAATGACGTCCTCCTGCAGCGAATCAATGTGTTTCTGTAAGAGAAATATCCATATTTAAAACGATATATACCGTAATCTCTAGTACGCGCATACACGAGGAAGTGGCATTCCAGCCAGATGACATAGGTCGTAGGTATAGCGTAAGCTCCGGTGAGAATATGCTAGTCTCGCGAGAACTAAGTTTTCTTTACAGGAGCAAATGACGAGGAACACTTCTATTGGAATATTAAATAACACCCATTCACTGCCTCTGTAACGGGGCAGACAAGACGTGAGACGTGCGGATCCATGTGCAAGCTTTATTCA